CGAGAGCTTTCTTTTAATCTGAAAAAGAGAGGATTTGGAGCACTTTGGAATTTGAGTCTTCATCTCCGTCTTCTCCATTCGGGTTATTTTCTTCAAGGTAGGGATTTCCTACTCCATCCTATAAGTTTTGTCCTAAGTTTTGGTATTTTGATATGTTGGGGATACTTTGGAGTGCTAGTTGGGGGAAAGGCAGTCAGGGAGACATTACCTGTTTCAAGTGTGGCCAGCTGGTCCACAAGTCTCCAGTTTGTCCTCAGAGGGGAGGAGTTCAGAGAGCAGCATCTTCTTCGGATGTGTATCAATCTGGAAGTATGAAGTGTTTGATTTGAGCCTGAGTCTCATCTGTTTGTTGACATTGGAAGAATGTGAATATAATATATATAGTTCACTGTTGTAAGTTTGGCCAGGTTCTGAGCCATGTTGATAAAATTGGAAAGTAAAACGTGTCTTAGACAATAGTGTCATGAGACTGTAAAATGAAGTAATTGATTATTTTGGTTGACCATCTGTTGAATGCTATTGCTTTATTCATTGCTTATATGTGGTTTAGTATATTTCTACTGGGCTGTGGCTCACCCTTTATGGGAACATCATTTTCAGGTTCAGGTGATAAGCTACCTCCAAGGACTTAGCTTGGGAGGGTTCAGTTTCTGGATTTTGAAGAAGACTATATTTAGTTAATTGTCTTTATTAATTAGTACATCTAAACATTCAAGCCCAGGGATTTTCTTGTATTGAGTTAGAACTCATATTTTGTATCCAAGTGTTGGCTTGGAAGGATGTAAGCCTGTAGGGCATTTTATTCGATGTTACATGTAATGCTTCTATTTAGTAATACTCTGAGGAATGAATTGATAAATTGTTTTCTTTAAATAATGCATGTCAATGATATATATATATATATAATGAGTTTATTTTTGAGGGCGTTACAGTACCTCTAAACCGGATAGTGTTGGGAGAAGATAGGGGATGAACTCCGTAGATATAGCTCATATGCTTGTCTAGAGAAGTGAAGATAGAGGCTTGAGATCCATGATGAAAGTCCGAAAACATGTGAGGAGTAGGTACCAAGTTCCTTCTATTTAGGAGTTAGTAAAGTGGTTTTTGGTAGTGTAGACATCAACCTAGAGATTATCTAAGTCGTATTTACCACCCATTGTTTATGTATTGAAATCATTGGATTGACTATGTTTTCGAACCTTATCTGTGGATATTGTTGTTATACATATCTGTTTAGAATGTGGGTGGTGCTTATATGCTTATCCGTTGAAAAAGGGAAAATGAAAGGTAACTTGGACTCATAAGTCGTATGACATAAATATGTGATTTATGTGAATGTATCAGTGTTAGCCATCTATCAATTGCTAATATTTTAGTCATTGTTCATGGTTGGTTTAGTGTATTTCTACTGGTCTGTGGCTCACCCTATATGGGAATATCATTTTCAGGTACAGGTAGCATGCCACCTCCAAGGACGTAGCTTGGGAGGCTAGAGGCAGGGGGACTTTTGTTGTTTTATTTCTTTGATGTATTACATGTATATTCAAGGCAAGGGCTTAATGTGTAAATGAGTTAGTACTCTTTTGTTGTAACCAAGTGTTAACTTGGCAAGCTGTAAGCCCTTAGGGCATTTGCTTTTGTTGTTAACATGTAATACAGATGTAATGGAATTCTGATAAATGGAAGAATGTGGAACTTTTACATATCAATGCATGTCTTATTTGTTGGGTTTATTGTTATTATTTTGAGGGCGTTACAATAATTTTCTTATTGGGGCTCAAGTTTTTTTTTTTTTTTAGGCTTTATTTCACAAGAGTTCAATTGGGTTCTGTTTCGTCCTCTTGGGAATACTTCATGAAATACTGCGGAAAAACTACTCTAGAGGATCTGCGGGTTATTTTATTTTATTTTAAACTGAAATGGTGTCACCCTTGCTCCTAATTTTGTTTTATTTTTGTCATTTTACACAACTAGGCTAGCTCCTTTCGTCTCACATCTCCACCAGCCTTGCTTGTTTGATGTTACATGTTACGTTATGTATTCAATGGGGAGAAATTTCTTCTTGTATTGGTCAATATTGGACCACAAAGACTTGACTACACAAAATAAATAAATAAATAAATATCCACCGAGTTGAAAACCAAACTAAGTCATTACAATTTACATGATAAACGTATGTGCCTCAAAATCAATCCATTGTTACCCATCTCCATGATCAATCAAAGCTCCATTCCTCCTTCAATGACTATCTTCTTCTTCTTCTTCTTCTTCTTCTTTTTCTTTTTCTTTCTCTTTCTATTAGTCCCTTGTACTGCTCAGATCTCTTTCAACTTCACAAGTTTCAATCGAGACATTAACCACATCAACTGCACTGGAGATGCTAAATCCTCTGATCCAGTCATCCAACTGACCCTAATCTTGAACAAACCCATGACAGAAAGTACAGGCCGAGCCACGTACTTCAAACCAATGCATCTTTGGGACAAAGCCACAGGAGCACTTGCAGACTTCAATACCCATTTCTCCTTTGTCATTAACTCACTAAATCAGACCCCATATGCGGACGGGATGGCATTTTTCCTTGCACCAGTTGGTTTCCCTATTCTTGATGTCCAAGAAGGAAGAGGTTTAGGCCTTGTCAGCGGTCAACAAATATTCAACCCCACGTTCAACTCATTGCCGGCCAATCAATTCGTGGCAGTGGAGTTCGACACATTTATCAACAATCAATGGGATCCACCATTTGAGCATGTAGGTATCAACATCAACTCCTTGGTATCTGTGCAAAATGTGACATAGCGGTGACAACCTCAAGCCTTCAATAAAGCAAGCAATTCAAGTTCTTGACTTTGAGGCTCCTTTGCCTAGCCTCCCACCAAACATGCCTGTGCCAACTTACTCAGCTCCTGAAAGGCACGAGACACAATCCTCCAGCTCTAGCTGCTACACCATCTCTTCCAACCATTCCGTAGTTTTTTCGTCGTTGCCAAAGCTTTCATAAGGTGAGGGATCATTTGTACTCAATAATCGTTATTATATTTCATATTTTTATTTTTTTGGTTATAATATGACTTGTTTATCCAAAAAAAAAAAAAAATCGTTATTTCTCTATGGCTAATACACTCCCAATTCCCAATTGTAAGACGTTGTGGGAATCTTTAGAACGTATGAATCTTGAGGTATGATTGTACTATTGAGATTGCGTTGGATATAGGGCAACATGAATTTTAGGTAGAGAAAGGTTCAAGTTTGTCATGAGTTGGGTGTTTGAAGTTTTCAATGTTTCTATTGTATTCAACAATAAGAGCAATAGTTGTACAATTTATTTTAATTTGAGAAATATGTTGAAGCATATCTTAAATCAAGCTTCCTAGTCACGATGTAAATTGATATCATATCATCAAAAAAAAAAAAAAAAATGGATATCATAATTGATTGATCTCATGTATTAAAATTTTATTTTATTTTTGTCTCAACACAGTCTCAATATAATCCAGAATATGGTGATGTTCATATTTTAATGGCTAAAATATTTTTTTCTATCAATTTTATTTAACAGAAATAGGCAGATGGTTTAGAATGAAAAAAACAAAAATATTATGATTACAATTGATAAAATTAAAATTTTAATAGTTATTTTTATTATAAAAGTCAAATTTTAGGATTTTTTAAATAACTTCCCCAAAAAAAAAAATGACAGGCAAAAAAAAAAAGGGTAAATTATCACGTTAATTTATATATTTTGATTATTGTATTATTTTAATTGACTTTAATTATTAATATTTTTTATGATTTAAAAATAAAAATATTATAATTTTAATTGTTAACATTTTTTTTTGATAAATACATATATAAAAAGCATATTTCATGTTTTTAAAAATAAAATTATAAACATGATGATTTAGTGACTTAACATTAATTAATGCAGTGATAATTTTGTATAAAAATATTAATAATATTATCAATTGAATTAATCTGATACAAAATTTAAAATTAAATAAATTAAAATTATAAGACTATAGCAATATAAGTAACAAATTTAAATACATCGGTATAATTTGTTTAAAAAATAATAAGCAAAAAATAAGAGTAAATCTCCTAGAACCTTCCCCAAAAAAAAATTCCCTTTTTGATCTAGGGCTGCCCCTCCGCCACTCTCAATGTTAAAGAAGGAGAATGTTGTTGAGGGCAATAAAACTACATGATTCCTTGATCGAACCGTTATCAAAATTTCCAGAATCACAGAGTTGAGTGTCATCCCAGGCATGTAATAATCGAAGCAATCCAAAACTTTAATAATCGGAACCAAGAGTAATATAAGCAAGGGCTTTAAATTTTCTAAGTAAACTAAGATGATTTCTTCAAATTGTGTTTGGTTTGGTGATATGAAAAGAAATTTTGAATAAAATAAAATAAAATAAGAAAAAGTACGTAAAACAAGAATAAAATCTATATACTTTGACACTGTTTGGGAAGTTTGGTCTTTTTTTTTTTCACTAAAAGATAAATTGGTTACAAAATCAAAAAAAAAATCAATCTAAACAAAATATCACATCAAACCTCATAATCATTTCATTTTTTATCTCACAAACATCACATCCAACTACAAAAAAACCCAACTAACTTCCCAAAAAAAAAAAAAAAAAAAAAAAAAATTCCAATAATATCCTACAACTAAAAAAACTCACTTCCCAAACACCCACAAAGTAAGAGGGTTTTTTGAAAATGTATCAAAATATCTTAGAGATACATTTTGTTTCAAGGATTGAAATTAATTCCCAAATTCATTAAGCCCATAATTCATTGAATGAATTTAATGAATGAATTTAAATTCATTAAGTTAAATATATTAAATTCATTAACTTAATGAATTCATTAACTTAATGAATGAATTGGTTTTTTTTTAACTTAATGAATTTAAACCCCATAATTCATTAAACCCCATAATTAAGTATCACCCACAAACTCAATTTAAATTCATTAAGTTTGTGGGTGAATTAATTTAATTTAATGAATTTAATTTAATTTAATGAATTAACTTAACTTTGTGGGTGATACTTTGTGGGTGAAATTAATTTAATTAAATTCATTAAGTTAACTTAATGAATTTGGGAATTAATTTCAATCCTTGAAACAAAACACAATTTATTCATTAAGTTATATATACGTACTTTTTCTTATTTTATTTTATTTTATTTAAAATTTCTTTTCATATCACCAAACCAAACACAATTTAAAGAAATCATCTTAGTTTACTTAGAAAATTTAAAGCCCTTGCTTATATTACTCTTGGTTCCGATTATTAAAGTTTTGGATTGCTTCGATTATTACATGCCTGGGATGACACTCAACTCTGTGATTCTGGAAATTTTGATAACGGTTCGATCAAGGAATCATGTAGTTTTATTGCCCTCAACAACATTCTCCTTCTTTAACATTGAGAGTGGCGGAGGGGCAGCCCTAGACAACATACACATGTCAAGCGAAACAAATCACAACGTACACATGCAAGCTAAACAAGTCATAATCATACCGATGCTCATGAACATGATGAGGACATAAAGTGTGGGTTCCTACATTATATATACGTACTTTTTCTTATTTTATTTTATTTTATTTAAAATTTCTTTTGATATCACCAAACCAAACACAATTTAAAGAAATCATCTTAGTTTACTTAGAAAATTTAAAGCCCTTGCTTATATTACTCTTGGTTCCGATTATTAAAGTTTTGGATTGTTTCGATTATTACATGCATGGGATGACACTCAACTCTGTGATTCTGGAGATTTTGATGACGGTTCGATCAAGGAATCATGTAGTTTTATTGCCCTCAACAACATTCTCCTTCTTGAACATTGAGAGTGGCGGAGGGGCAGCCCTAGATCAAAAAGGGAATTTTTTTTTGGGGAAGGTTCTAGGAGATTTACTCTTATTTTTTGCTTATTATTTTTTAAACAAATTATACCGATGTATTTAAATTTGTTACTTATATTGCTATAGTCTTATAATTTTAATTTATTTAATTTTAAATTTTGTATCAGATTAATTCAATTGATAATATTATTAATATTTTTATACAAAATTATCACTGCATTAATTAATGTTAAGTCACTAAATCATCATGTTTATAATTTTATTTTTAAAAACATGAAATATGCTTTTTATATATTTACTTATCATTAAAAAAATGTTAACAATTAAAATTAATTAAAATTATAATATTTTTATTTTTAAATCATAAAAAATATTAATAATTAAAGTCAATTAAAATAATACAATAATCAAAATATATAAATTAACGTGATAATTTACCCTCTTTTTTTTTCAAACCTTTGCAATAATAGGTGTGTGGTTGGGTAGTCCACCAGACTTGAATAAAGCAAATGGCCCATTTGAGAAGGTGGGTTGGGTTGATAAAATCTCGCAGAAGACGGGAATCAAAATGGGCCAGCCTGTCATTTTTTTTTTTGGGGAAGTTATTTAAAAAATCCTAAAATTTGACTTTTATAATAAAAATAACTATTAAAATTTTAATTTTATCAATTGTAATCATAATATTTTTGTTTTTTTCATTCTAAACCATCTGCCTATTTCTGTTAAATAAAATTGATAGAAAAAAATATTTTAGCCATTAAAATATGAACATCACCATATTCTGGATTATATTGAGACTGTGTTGAGACAAAAATAAAATAAAAAATTTTAATACATGAGATCAATCAATTATGATATCCATTTTTTGTTTTTTTGATGATATGATATCAATTTACATCGTGACTAGGAAGCTTGATTTAAGATATGCTTCAACATATTTCTCCAATTAAAATCTCCCAGTTTCGCATCTGCTGCTTCAAGAAGGTTTCCTCTTCCATAGAGCTCCCAAACCCACTCCACCAGCCTCATATGACCTTCTTCAGCCATGAGGTCAATGGGCTTTCTTCCACAAGCAATTTCCAAAGCAACAATGCCAAAGCTGTAGACGTCTGATTCTTTGCTAGACTTGCTTGTCACGAGCCACTCAGGAGCCATGTAGCCCATTGTCCCGGCCAAGACTGTGGTTTGTGACACTCTCCCGTGGTCAACAAGCCTGGCTAACCCAAAATCCCCAAGTTTAGCATTGAATTTTGAATCCAACATAATGTTGCTTGATTTAATATCTCTGTGCAACACATAATGTTCCCATTCTTCGTGTAAGTAAAACTATGCCGCGGCCAATCCTTTAGCGATATTGTACCTTGTCAGCCATGTCAAGAAGGTGTTGTCTTTGAACGGATGAGAATCCAAGCTGCCATTAGGCATAAACGCATACACAAGTAAGAGTTCTCTTTTTTCGTGGCACCAACCGAGAAGTTGCACCAAATTTCTGTGCCTCAATCGATTAATGATCTTCACTTCCGAAGCATACTCTTTAATACCCTGTTTAGACTCCTTTGACACCCTTCCGATAGCAACATATGAATTCAATTCTTTCAAGAAACCTCTATAAACTCCACCAAATCTGCCCTGTCCGAGCTTCTCTTCCTCCACAAAGTATCTTGTTGCAGTGGCCAATTCTTGGTATGAAAACTTCTTAGGTCCTGTCTCGGCTTCAAGAAGCTCATACAAAGCCTTGTATTTATTTTCAACCCTATTCTTTTTCTTCTTCTTCAAGCAAAACCAAAGGAAGCCCAACCCACCGATTAAAACACAAACACCTCCTATAGATCCCACTAGTACCCACCTTTTGTTTATTAGTTTTTGATTTTGGTTGGCAAATGCTGGCACTGGCTCCCAATTTGGATCAATTTGTATATTAGAATTGAAGCTCCAAGAGTGAAGAGTGTGCGTCTCGACTATTGTTCCTGTTGCGGCAGAGAAGCCGAAAGTAATCCACTCTAGCAAATACTTGCGTAGATCAACTATATGATAAAGCTCTTGCATGATTGTGGTGTTTTCATCAGGAAAACTGGTGAATGCAACACTCAAATTTCTCGAACTAGAATCGTAATGAATCGAGGCGTGATTCATTTTTCCAGAGGGAATTTGACACCGCCATGTCACATTTGGCACAGATACCAAGGAGTTGATGTTGATACCTAAATGCTCAAATGGTGGATCCCATTGATTGTCGATAAATGTGGCGAACTCCACTGCCACGAATTGATTGGCCGGCAATGAGTTGAACGTGGGGTTGAATATTTGTTGACCGCTGACAAGGCCTAAACCTCTTCCTTCTTGGACATCAGGAATAGGGAAACCAACTAGTGCAAGGAAAAATGCCATCCCGTCCACATATGGGGTCTGATTTAGTGAGTTAATGACAAAGGAGAAATGGATACAGCCATGTCAAGAAGGTGTTGTCTTTGAACAGATGAGAATCCAAGCTGCCATTGGGCATAAACTCATACACAAGTAAGAGTTCTCTTTCTTCGTGGCACGAACCGAGAAGTTGCACCAAATTTCTATGCCTCAATCGGTTAATGATCTTCACTTCCGAAGCATACTCTTTAATACCCTGTTTAGACTCCTTTGACACCCTTTTGACAGCAACATATGAATTCAATTCTTTCAAGAAACCTCTATAAACTCCACCAAATCTGCCCTGTCCGAGCTTCTCTTCCTCCACAAAGTATCTTGTTGCAGTGGCCAATTCTTGGTATGAAAACTTCTTAGGTCCTGTTTCGGCTTCAAGAAGCTCATACAAAGCCTTGTATTTATTTTCAACCCTATTCTTTTTCTTCTTCTTCAAGCAAAACCAAAGGAAGCCTAACCCACCGATTAAAACACAAACACCTCCTATAGATCCCACTAGTACCCACCTCTTGTTTATTATTTTTTGATTTTGGTTGGCAAATGCTGGCACTGGCTCCCAATTTGGATCAATTTGTATATTAGAATTGAAGCTCCAAGAGTGAAGAGTGTGCGTCTCGACTATTGTTCCTGTTGCGGCAGAGAAGCCGAAAGTAATCCACTCTGGCAAATACTTGCGTAGATCAACTATATGATAAAGCTCTTGCATGATTGTGGTGTTTTCATCAGGAAAACAGGTGAATGCAACACTCAAATTTCTCGAACTAGAATCGTAACGAATCGAGGCGTGATTCATTTTTCCAGAGGAAATTTGACACCGCCATGTCACATTTTGCACAGATACCAAGGATCCCATTGATTGTTGATAAATGTGTCGAACTCCACTGCCACGAATTGATTGGTCGGCAATGAGTTGAACGTGGGGTTGAATATTTGTTGACTGCTGACAAGGCCTAAACCTCTTCCTTCTTGGACATCAGGAATAGGGAAACCAACTGGTGCAAGGAAAAATGCCATCCCGTCCTCATATGGGGTCTGATTTAGTGAGTTAATGACAAAGGAGAAATGGATATTGAAGTCTGCAAGTGCTCCTGTGGCTTTGTCCCAAAGATGCAGTGGATCAGAGGATTTAGCATCTCCAGTGCAGTTGATGTGGTTAATGTCTCGATTGAAACTTGTGAAGTTGAAAGAGATCTGAGCAGTACAAGGGACTAATAGAAAGAGAAAGAAAAAGAAAAACAAGAAGAAGAAGATAGTCATTGAAGGAGGAATGGAGCTTTGATTGATCATGGAGATGGGTAACAATGGATTGATTTTGAGGCACATACATTTATCATGTAAGTTGTAATGACTCAGTTTGGTTTTCAACTCGGTGGATATTTATTTATTTATTTATTTTGTGTAGTCAAGTCTTTGTGGTCCAATATTGACCAATACAAGAAGAAATTTCTCCCCATTGAATATGTAACGTAACATGTAACATCAAACAAGCAAGGCTGGTGGAGATGTGAGATAAAAGGAGCTAGCCTAGTTGTGTAAAATGACAAAAATAAAACAAAATTAGGAGCAAGGGTGACACCATTTTAGTTTAAAATAAAATAAAATAACCCGCAGATCCTCTAGAGTAGTTTTCCCGCAGTACTTCATGAAGTATTCCCAAGAGGACGAAACAGAACCCAATTGAACTCTCACTACGCCAAAATTGGGCTTTAGCGGCGGTTTTTTACCGCCGTTAAAGGGTGTAAAACCGCTGTTAAAGGCGGTATTAACGGCGGTTTTGTTACCGCCGTTTATGCGCATGTCGGAAAAAGTACAACCATCGTAAAAAGGTAAATTACCGTCGTTAAAAGTCGACCAAAAACGGCGGCAACATAGGACCAAAAATAACCCGAGAACCAAAAATAATGAGAATACAAGGGAAACTAAGATACGTAACATCCATTCAAAATCATACCAACCCAAGCCCGGAACACCACAAGAGACGGGTCAAAATCGGGATCGTTACATTATGATTTATTACTAAATGTTGTATTTTGTTTTCTGTATTATGAAGTATATACTTTCAATTAAACTAGGATGCACTACGCCAAAATTGGGATTTAGCGGCGGTTTTTTACCGCCGTTAAAGACTGTAAAACCGCCGTTAAAGCCTTTAACGGCGGTATTAACGGCGGTTTTGTTACCGCCGTTTATGCGCGTGTCAGAAAAAGTACCTTTAACGACGGTTTTCGTTACCGCCGTTAATGCCTTGTTTTGGCGTAGTGATGCATGTTGTATGAGGTTAAACTATTATATGAAGATAACTTTACAATTTTAGACTAAAAATGTGATTTTTCAAAAACTATGAAATTAGACACATTTTCTAATACAACCTAATTTGAATTCACTTCTTTTTTCATTAATCTAGTTTTTTTTTTTTTCATCAATAACTATACACAAATTTGTTTTGCATAAAAAAAATAAAAATAAATAAAAAAAATCTACCTTGTAAAGAAAAATATTAAAAAAAATTTGATGTGAATAGAAGGGCAAAAGAAACAAAGTATAAATTTCATTGAATTTACGCTATTTTTTTACTAAATTTAATATACTTTTAACATTTTTAAAGAATTTTTAAATATTATATATATATTTTTCAATATTAAACCATACATCAAAAACACTAGTTAATATTTGCCTAAATACAAAACAAAGTTTAAAAAACCCAAAAATTTAAGTTATTCATTAGTCCGGAATTTCACGTGGCAGTTGGCTGGACTGATAGGAACGTAATCATGCTAGCACAATGACGTGGCGTAGCTAACTAAGAGGGATGATAAAGACCATTAGAGTTGGAACTCTAATGTCAATTCTAGTGATGTGACAAGATATAAAAAAAATGCAACATATCAAAACATCAAATTATAAGATGAGACTCACCTCTAGAACTCTTCATTTAGGAGTCTCAACCATTTTTGATCTAACTAAACTTAATCTTGTTTAGTTTCATAATTTAGATTCACTTTTCACAAAATTAATTTTTTTTTGTATATTTGTATTTTTATTAAAATTTTAAAATATTTTAAGCATTTTTTTTATTTTTTAAATACATCTAACATAAATACACTTAAAAGTATAATATTTGTGAAAAAAGCTTTAAAAAATTCACTAAATACAAAAACTATAAAAAAAAATATGAAAATTCAATATATTTTTCATATTCTTGTGTATTTATTAATTTTTTAAAGTATTTTTTTTTATAAATGCTTTACTTTTTACATACATCTAAGTAAGGTGCATTTAAAAAAGTAAAAAAAATTATTGAAAATTTTAAAAATATTCACTAAAAATAAAAAAAATTAAAAAATTCAATTTTAAAAAAATTAAATTAAAAAAATTGAAACCAAATATGATCAATAATTTCTCTAAAATAGGCAATGACAAAATAACCCAAAATTTTCAACCAAAACTCCCTCGTATGAAAATCCTAAAATTTCAATTCAATGTATAACTTCCCAAAATATTTTTTTTTTCCTTTTTTTTTTTTTGGTGCAATTAAAATCCCCAAATCAAAGAACCTGGTTGAAGGAGGGAGGGAGAGGTGAGAGATTGTCCTTCATGGTGGCTATTCTTGCTTATCTCTGACCTTTTTTTTTTTTTATCTTCCTTGGCTTCTGCATCTGCCGTTGTTCTCTTCGGCAGTCACTCCAGCGTTCTTCCCTCTCTTTGTTTCAGCACTTGTCGTTCGTTGGTTCATTTTTTTTGGAGAACATTTTAGTTTTCATAGGGTGGTTGGCTTAATGGGTGACGATTAGAGTCTGGAGATTTGCTCCCTCCTAGGTTTCAGGTTCGAATCCCTTAACTAGCAAACGCATCCCTTGGAGCCACAAACTGCAAGGCGTAAACCCTGTTTTGAAAGGCATGTTCGGGCTATAGGGTGGTGCGTGCAAACTGGTTCAAGATACCGTACATAACAAAAAAAATTACCAATACACCATGAGATTTGCTTCAAATACAACTTCTTCTTCTTCTTTTTTTCATAAGAAAAATTGAATTCTCTATATTGGGATAAACTCTTCTCCATATTTCATATCTTCATACCTCTCTCTCTTTACTTTTATTTTATTTATTTATTTTATTTTTTTATGGGTTTTAATTTGAACTTGCATTGATAATACGAGCAGTTTATCTTGTAAGTCCTGCAATGAAAGTCATTTATGTAAAAAATTAGTTTGATTGGACAACTACAAACATGGTAACGAATTGCATTTTATTTTGTAAAATGGATGGTTTAAATTTAATTATATCTATCGTTCATTTTATTAACAAAATGTAATTTATTCTTGTATTTTTAATTATCTGATGAATTTAATTTTTTTAATGGATGGCATTTATTGTGGGAATAGAGCAGGTCTGGATTGAACCTATGAAAAAAGTATGGAGAGGTATGAAAGGGAGTTTATCCCCTCTATGTTTGTGTAATTATTAATCTATTACATTAAACAAAAATGTTATGAACTCACCCTTATTAATTTATAATTTACTTCGAATGTGTTCGTGTGGTGAAAATTAAATTGATAAAATGTGGGATCAATGAGTAAAATAAATTTGAACCATTGAATTCTATTTATAAGTAATTTTTAGGTTCATAAGTTTGAGTTTGTAATGTTGTTATACATTAAATTACAATTTTTCAAAAAGACACTCAAATCTTAATTTTACCAAACCTTATGAATCAAAGTACTCGTTTATAAGACCATTTCTAATTATTCATCAATTTTTTTTTTATTTAATTTGATTTTAAATTTAATTATCCAACTACCCTTCCCTATTATTATTGATATTAACATTCACAATCTAGTGTAGTTTTAATAAGACATTATTTTGAGAAGTTAGTTAAAAGTTAATTTTTTAATTTTTTTTGAAAAAATATATAAAAATATAGAGAGGTAATATGACCAAAAATAAGTTAAAAGTCAAGCCTTTTAACCATCTTCTCAAATTAGTTCATAAATGTTTGTTTGCCTCATAGATAGTAGATTGGATTAACAACCTTGAAAATGGAGAGATGAATTGATATGTTTATTAAATGGAAAGGATAATGTTAGGGATACTAAATTTTCTATCAAACAAATGACTAAATGTCTCACATGAGTGTGAGGTTCACATTTTGTGAGATATTTAATAATTTATTTGGTAAAAAATTTAGAACCTATTGTATTTTTCAAATGAAAATGTGTAAAGACTCATCCTTATCTATTGAGAAAATTTTAAGTGTATGATTGTGTGATAAAAATTAATTCATATAGTATAAGATTTATATAGAATTTATATATAGAAAAAATTTGAATTACAAAATAAAAGTTTTTGAATAATTTTTGACTTGAGAATGGTAGATTCCTGTATTATTGTTATTAAATTCGTTAGGACTTGTGAGATTTGAATTTATAGCTTCGGTCTTGGAAAGGCACTGCTGGTTGAAAAGTCCATTGTTGAAAGAGTAAAATACTCAAAATATGAGGAACTAGTGCAAAATTACATTACTTCGGTCTTGACAAGGGCCCTGTTTGGTAGAGCTGTGGGAAAGTGCTTATAGTTTATGCCTAAATAGCTTATAGCTTATAACTATGAACATAAGCTGATTTCTGACTTATAAATTAAGCATCTCCTGTCCCACTCAAAGAATAAGCTGATTTTTGACTTCCAAAAAGCTATAAACTATAAGTAATAAGCTAAACCAAACACATCAAAATAGCTTAAATTAAGCTGAAAGCTGAAATAAGTAGCTTTTAAGCTGCACCAAACAGGCACAAGACAATGCTTGTTGAAAAGTCTATTATTTGACAGGAATAAAACAACCTGAAAATGCCGGAACTAGCCTAAAATCACCTGCTTTATCTGCGAGACGTGTTTTTTTTTTTTCTTTCAAACGTTCAAATAGTAACCAATTCCACTAATCTACTATTTATCTTGTTATGTAGGTCTTACGTAAATGAAGTTCAATCAGCAAAAATACTAGAGGATTAGCATTCAAGTGAGAGGACTGTGATTGTTAATCTAATTTCATGGGACTAAATGTGAAAATACAAGTTTGCCTGTCACTTTACAAAATCACACAAAAGTTACATTTTATACTAGTTTGCCTATCACTCTAATAAGTTGATTGGCAAATACTATGGTGTTCAAATTCGGAAACCATATATGAATTGATTCAATTTCTATGCCTCCTCTAAAATTTATTTAAAATACAAATTGTCTTATGTGATTTTATAAATTTTTCCCTTAAAATTTCTAATTTCATAACAAATATTATATTTTATTAATAAATTATTAGGTTAATTAATAATTTTTCATAATGTTAAAAATTTATTTCAATTAATAATTTATATAATTTTATTATTGTATAATAGAGCAGCTAAAAATTTTATTTTTTCAGTTAATTCTATTAAATTAAATATCCTAACGAGCAGATATTTATAATTTTTCAAACTAAGAGAGACAATTTGTATTTTAAACAAACCTTAGAAATGCATTTATAATTTACCCAAATATTTTTATTTATTTATTGTATGTAGTAATTTACCCAACAAAAGAGTACTAACGTCGGACTTCCGTCAAATGGTCACCAAAAGCTCGCCGGAGTATTGCTGGAAAGTCGCCGAAGTATCACCGGAAAGTCGCCGGAAGTTCACCGGACTGTTATGAACACCAATGGAAGTCACCGGAATGTCCAGAATATTGCTCGAAAAAAAAAGAATAAATGAAGAAATTAGAGCGAAAAAACATAGTAAAATGTGCTAAATATTGATAAACTAAAAGAAAAAAAAATGTAATGACAAAAAACAGCAATAATGGAAAAAATATATGTTATTTTTTAATTTTTGTAGGGTTTAAGCAAACAATCTCTAATATTGATCGAACTACAAAGTGAGTTTTGAAACTGTAAAATGTTACAGTTTCAGAGCAAAAATCTATTTAGTATTTATCCTTATTAATCAAACTGAAAAACATATTATGAAACTGGAAAATTTTATAGTTCTAAAGAATGTTATGATACTATAAAATTTTACAGTTTTAAACCATAATTCATTTCAGCACCAAAAAAATTGAAACTGCAAAATTTTACAATTTTCACCGCATATAACTAATACTCGAAAACAACTTATTCGGAATTTGAAAATTTTCTCCATTAAAACAGAAAAATAGGCTTGTATAGTAGAGAAAAAGTAGAAAAATTGAGAAATCGAAGGAAATAATAGATATAGAAAGAATATTGTACTCCAGCAACTATTTTTGGGTTAGATCTAATTGGATCTCATGTAGATCTACTCATCAGATTTGAGTAGATCTACTCATCTTCTTTGCTGTTGGTAAGGATGAAGTCATGAGTTGATGTCGATGGTTGGTGGTTGCTGGTGAATCCCAATCAATGGTGGTCGTCGGTATTTATTTTCGTTATGTAAAATTATCGGAAAAGAAGTATTTTAGATATTATATTCAATTTAGGTATATGAAAAATGTCTAAAATATTCTTTTTCATTGAGTTTAATGACTTTTTCATCAATTTTACTTAACAAAAATAAGTAAATAATTTAGATTAAAAATTAATTAACTGATTAAGATTTAAATCCATAAAATTAAAAATTTATTTTGTTACCATGTTCAAATTTTAAAGTTTTTGTTGTAATTTTCCTATTATTTTTATATAGTGCAAGTTTAATTTGTATGCAAACGCATGAGTTTGCACTTGTACCTGACACAATTTTCATTTGCACGCAAAATGACTTGTAAATTCTACTATTCAATTGAAACATATTTTAATTTTAGATATGATACTTTTATTTAAAGATAAATTGTAAATATATCTCTTGAAATTTATATAAAATATAAATTATTTTCTGTAATTTTAGAAATTACATCTTGTTAGACAATTTTCACTGTATTTAAAAAATTTAA